GGCTAAGCCTGGCTACCGAAGCAGCAATGTCTTAGACAATCCTATAAACAAGCAAAATAATCCTCCAGAGCAGCAGCACCGCCCCGAAGGACCCAGCATGCTGACGACCCGGGCCGCGGCCCAGCAGTCTCCGCTCCGGGAAAGAACATTAACAACGAAACTGCACAGTGTTCACAATAAACTCATGCAATCACCAGCTCCAACAGGAACTCATCACTGCCTCTGGACACAACGACGACTGTACATGAAGATCAGTATATGCCACTCAGCATTGGCCGAAAAGTGGGCCGCATTCCAGTATGTAGCATCGAAGAAAACTTGGAGCATGACCTTAGCATCGAAAAACAGCCCCTGGTCCACTGGGCCCATACTGGATCCTGCAGAGCATCACAGTAAATAGTACAGCAATCCCTCTTTGCCACCGCGAAAGAATTGTGTCCTCACGATTCCGGAGCAGCAATGGAAAAGCCATGCAAGGTGAGGCTCCTACGATCCTCGGGCTTAAGACTGCCGTGTTGACCTATATGATAGGCCAACAGCAGCAACCTCGGTCCAGACCATGGCAGGGTGACGTGTCTTTGATGTGGAGAGAACTGCAGTGCTTCCTGAGTCGAGAGAACATGGCCCCTAGGCCCGTCAGCAGAAAGACCAGCACCACCATGAGGGTCCTCTAGGAATATTTGTCCCCCCTCGAAAGAGGAGCAAGGTAAGGCCAAATTTGAGGAGCCGCTCATGTTCCTTGAGTCCTTATGCAACGGCGCCGCCACATTCAATGACAATGTACGCGAAGTAAACTGCAGCTCAGAGCACCACGTACGAACTATCCCAGCCAAAGCCTTAGTGACCCATGGGTACATAGCCGTGTTGCGGACAATCCCAGCCCTATTTCCATGATTCCAGGCGCCCACTGTGAAGCGGCTAGATGGAGGCTTAGCACTGCCAGCACCTTCAGCACTATCAGCACTACCAGCACCAGGCTCCGAACTCCATCTCACCTTGGAGTCGTTAGGAAGCATGCCCACCAAACGCAGCAGCTGATCCCAAGTGGCCTGGCCACTAGAAACCATAGCAAAAGCCAGAGCCTCCGCCGGACACCACTCAGGAACCTCCATGTCCTGGATGGTAACGCCTGATGAGGTAAGTGCGCTGCGCGGCGTACTCATAAAGAAGGCCCTTCTCGTATGTGTTGAGGGGGGTGGCACCTACCATGTACATGCCTCGGAGTGTACACGACCGCTGAGGATCAGGACCACGCTCAGCTTCACAGACCACCCCTTGAAATTCAACATCATCCATCAACACATCCAGATCATCTTCCACCTCATCCGCCTGGGCAGATTGGACAGAGTCACCCACCTGTTGATGCGCACGTTTGCGCGAGGACCAACTGGCCTGCATCACGCGGCCTCCAGAACTAACCAAAGAGCCAAAGAACCCTGCAGCACCTGGCCCAATGCACATAAAGAGAGCGTTATAGCTGCCAGCAAGAATCCTGAGGAGCAACATCAGACAGGCTGCTCGGCACTCGACCAAAAGAAGCTGCCACTACTACTACTCCTACTACTCCTACTACTCCTACTACTACTACTACTACTACTACCACCAGCAGGGAGTCCTCCCACTACGACGGCGGAGACGCGAGCAGGTTGCAAATCGCATAGGAACTCTAAGCCCAGACCATATCCGAAACTGCACCTAACGCGCATGAACCAACGAAGCTCCAGGAAACACACTGAAGCCATAAACCCCGCCAAGGAGCTCAAAAAACAAACACCCAAATCCAGGTTATTGAACCCCTGTCCACCAACTCAACCAGACACCACAACCCCGAAGTCTACATCAATCCTCTTACTTTCGCAAGAACCCCAAGTCCTAGGCCTCGGACCCAAAACCCCTTACCCCCGATCCTTCACCTTCATGATTAAGCCTGAAACCACAAAAGCCTAAATCCTAACATTCCCAAACGCTTGAAACCCTTCACCCTCGCGGAAAAAAATCAGTCTAAAACCTGATCCCTGTGAAGGTAGGTAGGATTGAGGAACCCTATAAGAAATTACCCCACCTACCTCAACCCTATATCCTAAACCCTTAGAGCTTTGTGACGCGCCTCCCTCTCAACATTACCAATCGTTGGATTGAAGCCCTGGCCGGTGACGCTGTAGCCCACGCCGCAGGACCACCTGCGGCATTTAGGTCTTAGAGTTTGAGCGAGGTAGGGGTTTAAGTTTGTGGGTCTGGGATTTAATGTTTACGGTTGAAATTTAGGGTCCTGACGGTTTAGGCAAACATTTGCGCTGATCATGTCTAAGTGGATAATTCAACAAACGACCATAGCCTTTGCAATGGGTTCTGGATCCTGGAATTTCTTTGACAAACAGGCGACAGCCGGTACATACCTCATGTTGCTTGGTCGTTGCGAGCGCTGGAAAATGATTCGTTGTCTGCAGCTTAGGGTTTAGAGGGGCTATGAGGCGCAGGGTTTACCTTCTTTATACGCATCGAAGCAAAAACCATAAACCATCATCAAAGTCCCAACCCCAAAACTCCAAACCCGAAACCTAAACCCCAGGACTCTAAAGCCCCAACCTTAAACTTTAGGGTTTGGCTTAATGGGGCTTCAATTCGAGGGATCCGGGCTTTAGTGATCGCGGGCTTAGGTCGAAGCACAGAGATCCGGGCCGAGGATTTCAGGGCCAAGGGCTCAGGGCTTTGGGCTTAGGTGTAGGGTTTAGGGCTTAGGGTTTAGGGTTTAGTATAGGGCATTCCGATACCAGTCCTATTCCGATGGAATAGAGGGGAAGGCGACCATCACTCAAAGCACCACCCAACAAACCTCTCGAACCCGCATGGCAACCCTGATTCATAGCAAAAAATGCAGCAGCCCGAGCTCCTTAGGCCCCTTATACCAACCCTTGTTGTCAACCGTGTAGTAACCCAGGTTGTAAACCCTACAGTAACTCTTATCAAGGCCTTACAATAACCCCCCGTCCACCAGAAACCCTAAACCCTAAACC